CCCTCCCCTGCGGCGGCGGCGGGCGGCGGCCGCGGTGCATTGTGGGCAGCCCGTTGTTCATTTGCCACCCGACCCGATCCGGGGCCTGTCGGGACGGAAGCGCCGCCGCCGCCGAGCGATCGAGCGGGATCCATTGTGGGCAGCCCCGCGCCCGCCGCGATCCAGGCCGGACCCGGGGGAGCGGGGAGCGAGCGGCCGGACTTCGCTTCTCTCGGCCGCCGCCCCCGCACGGCAGCCGGGCGCCTCCTTCCCCCGCCCCGTTCCCGCGGCGGACGGAGCGCTCGGCCGGGCGGGGGGCGCGGGGCGCGCCCGCCATGTTCGCGGAGATAAACCGGCGGACGCTCGCGTTCCGCGGCGGCGGCCTTGTCACCCCCGCGGCGGCCGCCTCGGCGGCGGGGACCGAGGCCTGGGAGCGGCAAGACCCCGAGGCGCTGAACGGGCGCGGGGCGGACGAGGAGGCGGAGCTGGAGGGGCTGGAGGCCGAAGAGCTGGAGGCCACCGCCGCCGAGGAGAAGGAGCTGCTGCTGCCCCAGGACGCGGCGTCGCCCCCCGCCGCCTCCGGCCCCATGTTCGCTGAGAGGAACCGCCGGACTCTGGCCTTCCGCGGCGGCGGGGGGCTCCTGGCCGCCCACCCCGCCGCCAACAATGGCTGCGAGGCCGCGGCCTGGCCGCGGAAGCACTTCAATGGGCGGGGGGCGGACGAGGAGATGGAGCTGGAGGGCGCGGAGGGACTGGAGACGGAGGGGCTGCTGGAGGGCAAGGAACTGGTCCAGGACGGGGGTTCGCTGAGTGACAGCAGCGACGACGAGGAGGACGGCGAAGGGGGCAGCCTGGGCGACGGCAGCGGCGCCGAGGGCGGCAGCTGCAGCAGCAGCCGGCGGTCGGGGGGCGATGGCGGGGATGAGGCGGAGGGCAGCGGCGAGGGGGAGAGCATCCGGCACTTCCCGCTGGCCAGGCCCAAGTCCCTGCTGCAGAAGCTGCACATCTCCTTCCAGGGCTCCTGGCTCAAGGAGTTCCCATGGCTCTACTACTGCCAGGAGACCGGCCTTATGTCCTGCGCCTGGTGCACCGCGGCCGCCGCCGCTGCTGCGCCCCCCGAGCTGATCATGTCCGGCGCGCCCCTGCCCGGGGGGCACGATGAGCTCTGCAAGGGCACCCGCAACTACAAGCGCACCCTGCTCCTGCGGCACCACCTCTCCGCCGAGCATCGCCTCAACGAGCCCGGCAGCGCCGAGCAGGTACGGCACGGGACGGGTAGGGGGCGAGGGAAGGAGGGAGGGGCAATCCCGGCCTCCCCTTTCGCATAGGTGAGGTTTTCCTGTGCCCACGGCATGAACTTCTTTAAATGGCTGCTCGTGGTTGTTGCTGCCCGGCGGGCTGGACACTCCGCGCTGCTGTCGCTCGCCGTGTCCGGAGCGGGAGCCGAGCCCCCTCTGGGATTTGGGGTGGCTCTCCCGCTGGATATTTGCAGGCACACAGACACAGCACTAGCTGTTGTTTGTGGCTGTACTCCGTTCCCGTTATCCGTCCGGCGCTGGCGGGTGCTGCTTTCATTGGTTCATCTGTTTATCTCGTGAAGATAAACCGGCGATGTGGGAAAAAAGTTCCGTACGAGTGCCAGTGTCACAGCACTGATTTAAATACGCTCGTTACAACTTCCTCCTGCGGTACAGGCGGAGGGAGGGCAGTGTCCGGCCAGCGACCGCTTGTGAAATGGGGACGCGGCGGCGTGAAACTGGAATCGCTGTGCCGTGCTTAGCGGTGTAGCCCCGGTGCACTAATCGGATAACTCCGTGTATTTAAGTTCTTCGCGCTGAAATATTTTTTTTTTCCGATTGTGTTGCTTTGGATTGAGTTGCTGAGCAAGAAGTATGCAATCGCATGGTGTATGTTTGAGATAAACATGCGGTTTCCTGGAAGCCGTGTTACTATGCCAGCGCTCCTCTAACGCTGTAGGAGTAGTGAACCTCTCCACATTCCCCGCTGAACTTCAAATCACTGTGTGTCTTGGCTGCCTTCACGAATGAGGCAGAGCTTGCTCTAGAACATATGTGGATGAAAAGCCCCTAAAGAATACTCTTGTTGAATCCGCAGCCTTCTGCAGCCTTTTCTCCTAGGGATGCCTGTGCTGCTAAAGTTCGCTCGATCGCTTCGCCGGCGTTAAACTCGCCTGCGGGCATTAGCTAGTGTTGCTTCAGGGTAGGCTAGTCCTTGAATTGTTAGGCTCTTAGCCGGAATAAATTGATTAATCACTCCGTTTTTATGCATTTAGAATTCAGTTTTAATTAAAACACCCACCTTGGTTGGGTAGCTTTATTTGGAATCCGAAATATAATGCGGTAGTTAGATTGAGGTTATTGCTTGAGCACTCTAAGGAGCTGAGGGTACCTTGGACAAGAGCTGCTAGTCAAGTGTTAGGGCAGGATATGAGGATTACAGGATGACTTATAAAACGTACTAAGTGAACAATAGTTTTCTTAGAACTACTTGGAAAGTGTGTGCAAGTTTTATGTGAAGCTGCTGCAGGACTGCAAGGGAAGCCTTATGGTGCATAAATACCGGTTAGCCATAATAATTTTTTTGGATTTATAAATGCTGCACTCACCTTCAAGATGATTAATACTACCTTTTCAGTGAGTGCAGTTTTATAGCAGATAAATTTTACAGCAGATAAATATTACAGATGTTTTGTGGTAGTAGGTCATCTTACTAGTTTTCTTCAGTCTTCTGGGATTTGCTATTTGCTCTGGAGTGTTTTAGCCAAACTTGCTTTCAATTAGTTGTTTCTAATTAAGAAACTTTCATTCTTAGTTTCTTTCACTTCTTCATATCTTTGAAAGTGTTCCAGTTTTGCATAATACTATTGCCGTATCTTCCTTTCTGTCTTGTTGCCTAGTTTCTAGCTTTGAGTTGTGAATGATTAGTCTGTAGAAGTAGGTTCTGTCGCTGTGTTGCCTCCTGTGTTAGTGGATGTTGATAATCCCTTCCACACCTGGAAGCTTCTCTCACTCTGTTTTTGCTGTATTTAAATAAAAGCAATTCCATGCATTTTTTTCCCTACTCAGTTAACTATTCTTTTCTTTCTGTACTCTTACCCTGAGTCTGTTAAATACCCTGTCTATAAAACTTAAATATGAGAAGGGAGGACAGAATTTTGGCTTATCACAGTAGCCTACAAGTTAGTGTAAGTATGTATTTGAAGATTGTGTTTATTTGAAGACCTTTCATTGTCATGGGAATATCTATAAAAATGAATCTCTGCTTTTATACCGCTGATAGTTTAAGAAAAAATATTTGTAGTAACTGTGATAATAAATGAAACAGTAGGATAGATGAGTCAGTGATTCTTCTCCACTGTACTAAAGATAAGGTTGGGACAAAGGTAGCTGTAAAGAGATTGTTTTTTGGTTTTTTTTTTTTTGAGTGGAAAACGGTGCTTTCTGCATCCTTCTGCAATTACATTTCAGTTAAAAGCGTCTCATGAGGGAAAGAATTGCAGTTTTTCAGGAGTCAGTGTAGTTTTCTTTGTGGTGCACTTTCACGTTACAGTTGCTTTATCAAAAACCTGATTAAGAATCTCTGTTTTCTTTCCCTTCTATGTTTAATTTCCGTATCCTTTCATACTCTTAATGGCACTTGAATTTCTTTTGATACATATGTTTAAATTAATACGAAAACAATAGCCCCATTTTTTTTCTAAATGCCATGATACCAGATACTTGGAACAAAAATAGGTAATTTGTACCCTGACCGTATTTCCAACATACATAATGAGGCAGCAAAGCCGTTTAGATTTAATGAAACTTGGGAGAGATCTTTCAGCCTTTGTGTTAGAGACAACACACATGTATTATGGACTTGACAAGCCTCAACTGCAGGGCATGTTTAGCAGCTGCTAATAAACATATGGCATAGTGCCACCACTCAAGCACAGAAAGGAAATTGTAGGTGTTAAGACAGTAAAGCAGTGGAAATTTCTATAGATCTGTTGGATATAACACTCGTGAAGAAATGAGTGATGATTTCAGTTTATTTTTGGGATACATTTAATTTGGAATGCCAAAATACATCACAAGTGGTTGCAGCTGCTGTAATTCAAGGGTATTGAGCTGTCAGCCGATGCTTCTTTCTAAGACCAAATTCTTGAATCTTTTTTGATTCTAGTTTTTAAAATAATTTTTATCCACATGAAAGAGTAAGGAAATCCATCATCACCTAGAAACTACCTTTGTTTTTTTTACTGAACAGACTATTGTGTGGCAAGAATCTTAAGAAGTGGATGTTTGCTGGGAAATCACGGCAAAATATTTTAATTCTTTGATGAATTTGGGTCCATAAGATGCAGATTTATTGGCTGCTGGGGGTTCCTCCCTTCAAATCATCTTCTTAAAGCATTTTCTTTCTGGCCATAATTTAGAGCTAAGCTTTGGAAATACTGCCAGAAAAGCTTTCTCCAGTCTAACAGGCATGTTGGTTTAAAGCAGAAGCTCTCCAAAAGGAGGAAGGCCTTTGATGTGTTATTTTTTCCATGTGAACTGGAATTGTTTGCATTATGTGAGCGGTGATGAATGGAAGTCATGCTTCAGATGTTAGAATTACATTACAGTGTTCTGTAATGTAACTCTGTAATGTACAGTTAACTTCTTGACTTACTTTTAGCAGAGCAAAGAAGTTGAGGAGGAAGTCAGTCCTCAGGATAAAGACTATCAGTGTATTTTCATGTAGTGTTTTTATCAAACTTCAAGCTACTCAATTCGATGTTAGGTAATTAGTGAAATAATTGCTGAGTTGTCTGTGAGTGATGCTGTGTGTGTACAGTAACAGTGGAGCATCATGTGCAGCTGATGGGACCATATTTTGAGATCATTTTCCTCTGTAGCTGCACGTGGTTAAGAAGCTACTGATAGCTTACTTTTTTAAAAGATACATTTACCAGGGTAAAATTAATTTAGGGCCGCAGGGAACTGCTGTAGAGCAAGATGTGGTAGGGGGGAAGGGATTAAAAAATGTGGCATAACTACTTTTGATATACACGCAGCTGAGATGGAATATGTGGTTAGATTGGTTTGGGTTTTTCTTAATTCTTCCTGCCCTCACTGTTCTTCCTCCCAGGGACAGAGTATGCTGATGGAACAGTAGCAGAAAGAAAACTAAACAAACTAAACTTCTGGTAGTAGTTTTTGATCATCTGTGTCTGCTCCTGTTAGCTTTTGGACGAGTTTAATTAATGAATTATACATATAAAATAGTAATTTATCTTTGTGTGTATTCAGAAGAGTCTGTTTGAAACTGAGTATATTAGTTTCCTTAAGCAGTCTCTGTTCTGTTACAGCACTTAATCTCACCCAGAGAGAAGTTTTTGACTTAAAACACTGAAGATTCCACAAATTGAAATGAAATTGTGCTGATTTTCATCTTTTATTTCTTACTAGTGTTTATTAAAGGATGAGGTGGTTTGGTGTTGAAGTAACTTAGCTGATGAGAATATGGGGTCTGCATTCTGAAAATAAAATTGACATTTAAGCAAATACGATTAGTTTGTTTTTCTCATTAGAAAAACAGAACCCTTATGATGATGTGTCATGTAAATAACAGACATTTGCAAATACAGTTTTTCCTGTAATTATTTTCTGCACCTTACCTTCTGTTGAACTGTATTGTATTTTTTCCTGTATCAATGTCTAAATCTCTCGAGGTAATACCGTTTTATTAATTTTTCTCATAGTAAATGTCAGTTCTCCTTGTTATACTTGGTGTTCATAGACTTGATAACTGTCCAGATGTCAGGACTTCATTTGAGTTGTGGCACTAAGGTTAACTGTTGTACCATACCAGCAGTAGAAGAGTTGGTTTTAGTACTGCAGTTAGTTTTAAAAATGTTTATGCACCCTCTTCTGTAAAGCTATAGTAGTAATTAAAGCTGTAACACTGATTGATCTCCTTCTCTAACACACACCCCTATTGCTTGGACACAGGTTGCACAATACCTCATTTTTCCACTCAACCGTTTGGTCTTGTCATAATGGAGATTTCAGTCTTGTCTTGTTGTAGCACATTTGTGATCTGCAGCTCCTCCTCACCCTGCTGGCTTGTCCTGTTCTCAGGAAACAAAAACCTCACATTGTAAATACAAATTTATTTTTTGTCCCAGCTTGATTGGGTACTTATACTTGCTCAGTTAAAATGTACTCTTATCTCCATTATTTAATCAGACATTTGTCAAAACAAAAGAACTGCTGCAGGTTATTTTTTAAATTTTATGTGGTGTTTAATGTGTTCTCAGAGAGTGAAATTGGCAGCTATCATAGCATCTACCTAACATTTACTGTGTGAGGTGCAAGTCACTGATGATTGACGAGCGTGACAGCACTTTAGGGTAGCGTAATTTTCATCTTAATCTGATCCGGTGTCAGTGTAATTGGTGTTTTGAAACTATGCAGTGCTCCACTGCTGAAGTGACAGGAAGCTAGCCCAGAACCAAAATCTGCTGAGAACTTAGAGTGACAGCCTTAGGTGTCCCACATCTGGAACAAACTGTTTCACAGCCTTGATCTGAGGGAGTACTTGGGGTGTGTCAGAAAGTACACTGAAAATATTAAGATGAGGTTGGGCAAAGATCTATTGCTTTTTTTCACATAAGAGCCTAATGGCTTTTTTTTCTTCCCCTTCAATGACGTGCTTTTCTTAGAAGTATAGAGATTCAGGAGCAAATTGAAATTTCTCTGCAGGAGAGGCTGAAATGGCACAGTTTCTGTTTTGGTTATACTGGGCCTTATTTGCTACTTAGAGGTGTAAACACCATTTTAAATCTAGTTACAGCCTCAGTTGTCATTCCAGTGATCCACACTGGAATTGTAAATTGAGATGAGTACTGATTTGATTCACTAATGCCTGTGGGGTGGAAAGTGACTTTTTAAATATATGTAGCTGGTTTCTGCCATAGTCCCAAATTAAGAGTAATACTTTCCTGCAACGTGTATTTTAGCCCCAGCATAGTTTATAGGCTCATGACAGTGCTAACATTACCTTCTTAATACTGATTTTCACCTGTAATGTTGAGGCATGTGAGCTTTAACACCACCTGTAGCTCCCTGATCAGTGAGGTGTTTTAAGAGATGAGAGAAGAAAATAATGATATGGCTTGGAGCTATCCAGTTTTGAACTTTCCTTGTTTGCTAGGAAAGAAGAGAGACTCTTGGAGGAGATCGAGTATGAAACAGGCTGTCATTGTTGCTGTTCTTGATGGCAGCATATGTCACCCCATATAAGTATGGTCTCAAATATGCTAGTCTGTGTTTTCTTTGCTTTCTCCTAGCTGCTGCTTTGTAGCATCTCTGAATCATCTTTATCTAAACATGAGTTAGAAATCTTCTGTGTTCTCCAAATCCAGTTCAGATCTCTTGACATCTCCCTATCTGAACTAATCTTCAGTAATGAATTATGTATTGGTGTTGGATTGCCTGAAAATACCAGGTTTTAGCAAAATTTTGAAGCCGTCTTTGGTGTCACATCTTAAAAAGGTCGTGTGTGTTGTAATAAGTATCGTGCCAGTGTTGCCACTGGAAAGTTTGGGAGGCTTGTTTCAAGAAAGTCTGAGTTAAGTATTGTAATGGAAGCTTAAGTTGGGTTTTTTCGGGTTTTTTTTTCCTCCGGTATTTTGTCTGCTTGTCATGTGATACACTGTTTAATCCTAAACCTGCTGCAGTTAAAAACCAAAGGGTAAATGCTTAATTTGTAAACCTGTATAAGAAATACGTTTGCTGTTGTATCCACTTTAACAATATGTTTTCTTTAAAACATTCAAGACAGATTGGGACCTACAGACTTAATCCATGTATTTGTATCTCAGCATGAAGAAAACGTTGAATCAGTTATCAGGATGCTGGTTAATTGCTTAATGGAGATTTCTGGGGAAGAACAAGGGATTAGATATGTAGGAATCATCTAGTTAAATCTTTGGAAAGAGAGGCTCCTGAATCCTCAATATATGTGGGTTAGGAATAACAAGTACTTCACACTCAACTATATTTTTCCTTACTTTTGGCTGAAATTTCCCTTCCTGTCCCCTCAAGGCAAATCTACTAGCTCTGTTTGTTTCAAACTTTGGGGGTGGAAGGTGCAAAATGAGAGCATGATTTTTGGTTTTCAGAAGTATCTTGTTTGTTATATATTCCTGTCTGCTTTTGTGACCAAGAACATAAATAACAGAAAATAGTTTGATTAAAATTATCTTATTTAGTTTATTTTCATATCCTTATTATAATGCTGAAGAACTAAGGAGAGCATTTATTAAGAGCTAATTATGTTTGTGTCGTTTTTTAATTGCAGGAGGCAGAGTTACCATCAGAACTGAATAATGAAGGATACTGTGATTTTAACAGCAGGCCAAATGAAAACTCTTACTGCTATCAGCTCCTGCAAGAGCTCAACGAGCAGAGAAAGAAAGGCATTCTTTGTGATGTTAATATTGTGGTGAGTGGGAGGGTCTTCAGAGCTCACAAGAACATCCTGGTTGCAGGCAGCCGCTTCTTTAAGACTCTGTATTGCTTTACAAACAAAGAAAGCCGTAACCAAACCACTGTTACCTATTTAGACGTTGTTGCTGTTCAAGGTTTTTCTGTCATCTTGGACTTCTTATATTCTGGTAACCTCGTGCTTACGAGCCAAAACGCCATTGAAGTGATGTCGGTGGCCAGCTACCTTCAGATGACGGAGGTTGTCCAGTCCTGCCGCAACTTCATTAAAGATGCCTTAAACATAAGTATAAAATCGGAAGCTCCAGAGACTGTTGTAGTGGATTACAACAGAAGATCTGTTAGCAGGGATGGTTTATCTCCAAGGGATCAAAAAGTTGCCAGCTTCTGGGCAACACGAAACCTTACCAATCTGGCAAGTAGCATAAAAACTGAGAATGATCCCTACCCTATTGATGAGGGCCAAATGGAAAGCTACCAAATGAATGACTGCAGTTGGGTCCAGGACAGCTCACCTGAAATTGCTGAAAATGAATCTCAAGGTGAGGGAAAAGTTTTCGTGTGGAACGACATGGGTGCACAGGGACAATCTGTTCAAGAACCTGGAAAAGCAAGAAGGAAAAACCAAACTGCAAAGAGATTTATTTATAATATACCACCTAATACTGAAGAGAACTCTGAAGATTGCTCAGTGTTGCAACCGTCAGTCCCATATCCAGAAGAAGATTTATCATTTATTAAAGAAGAAGCAGGTAAATATTGCTTAATGCCAGTTATGTCATTTGAAAATTCAGGTATTGACTGAAGTACCTGCCTTTGTGACTTTTGGTTTTTATTTTTTAAATTATTATGCTGTGTGAATAGTTAATGTATGCATTTGAAGTACTACCATTTACCTGCCTCACTTTTTGATGAATTAATGGTTTTGAAAACTTATTTCAATTTAGAAGCCAAGTTTGGGGTGGATATGAGACACAGCTGGAATAAAACTATTTAGATGTGTCTCATTTCTAAAGCAGTTTAAAATGTATGCCTGCTTCAAACATCAGGGAACTGTGGATGTCCTGTCTCCTCCAGGTGCCCTGCTCTGCTCCTGCCTGTGGGGCTGGGGCACACAGGTGAGCAGTGGTCCCACAGGGGGCACGTGGGGACCCATGGCTGTGCTGTGCCATGCCAGCAGCACCTGGGCACCACAGTGACATGTGCCAGTATAGAGCAGTGTGGGCTGGGACTGGGGATGTGTTTCTCCAGCACAAGAGACTTTATGTGCTTAGTGAGTAGTGTGACACTTCCAGAGCAACTCTGGAGAAGCGGCTGTACTGAGGAGTGCTTCTGCAAATGCTTCAGAGGAGTTACTTATCTCCGGTCTTCATCTCTGAACTCTGAGTAGCTCTGCTTTAGCTTTACTTGGGGGTGCGTGCTTGTGAAGTGAATTTCCTGTACTTGCCTTACTGGCTAAGCTTTGTTAGACTGCACAGGCATCCTTCTGGCTGAACTGAGGATAGAAGCTGTATTTCAGGAACATGACAGTCACTAATAGGCCTCAGGTCCACAGCACCAGGTTAGATCTAGCCTAAGTGAAGCACCTTTAGCTGCAGATAGTGGGGGATGTTGAGTCCTTAGCACCCACACAACAATTCTGCCTGTGCTGAGCTGCACTACTTGCTCTAGTTGCAGTGCCATGAAAAAGGGCAGCAGAGGGTCTGGAGCAAGAGCTGAGGATGTATGTATTAGCTGCACAAATACCAAATTTCTGATACAATTTAGTATGTGATTTCTGTTGATGATTTATTTGGGGTAAATAGTCAATGTCTTTTACTGATGGAAATACAGAGAATATGTCTACTGTGTAATGGCACCAACAACAGATACAAATAGTTGTTTGAATTCTGTGGAATTTTATATGTGTGCTGTGAAGATTTCTTGGAGAAGTAACAGAGGACATGGGCAAGTGCAGTACGTTTAGTCCTTGTTAATTTTTGTTTAATTATTTATTTATTTTACAGAAGCACCAATGTTTCCAGTAACTTGTTATGCTAAAGAATTAAATTACAAAATACATCCATATAGCATTTTGATGAAAAGAACTGTATTGGACATAGAGCATACTGAATCTGTGTTGTGGTGTTTGTCTAAAACCATTAAAAGTTCTGTGACTGCAGGGGAAAGTTCATTTTCTTGAGCTCTAAAATACTAATCAACTAGTGATCTCCATGGTATTTTCAGAGCACAGCACATATGTTCCCAAGTACATAGTTCCCAGGTACATTTTCTGTCAGTGTCAGAATTCTTTTGGAAGCCATATCCAATATTTTTGTAATAAAACCTTCACTTTTACTGAATTCTTGCATGTATGTTGTTTGAAACAAGAGGAGTGACTGAAATAGGGCTTGGTGTAGCTTACTTTTCACCTGTAGTCTGTTCTTCAGCTTTCAGTACTCTTTCTCTTCTACTTGTGGCTCTTTCTTTGCTTTGCAGGTAGATTCCACCCTTAATTGCTCTTCTTTTAACTGCTCCCTCTATGCCAAAGAAAAGGTGGAAGAGGGAGGAGTGGAGAGTTGGAGGAATGTCAAGAATGAGTTGTAGAGTAACCTGCAGGTTATACAATAACTTCTTAGTTTGGGATTAAATTTCTTGTGGGTATGAAAAAGTACCAAAAATAATAGGCCCCGAGGTAAAAATGCATAAGAAAATATCATCTGGAATAGATATAAGACAATTCTCTAAGAAGAAAGATAAAGAATAGTAAATTCTTGTGTTCAGAGCTAAGAAGTGTGCTCTCCTGTTGGTTGTTAAAAGGGGAACAAAGAGCTTCTACTGTTATGCTTTGTCATGTTCTGATGGGAATAACACCATCAGAACTGTCAGTTACATGCTGTGTGAGTTTCTGTGCCCTTGATTTAGGTTTGGGTTAGTCTGGTGCTTTTGTGATGGGAAATAAATACTGTAGATACGGTGGAAAGGAAGCCTACTTAAGATCACTTCTCTCACTACAAAAATTTATCCCTGAAGCCACTTCCTTGAATTCTATAGTAAAGTAATTTTCCAGTTGGGTACAGTTGGTATGTATTAGATAATAAACAGTAAAGGCTTTCTGAAGCATCTGCTACCCCTCTTGTTCCAGTAAAGCAAATATGTTAAACTCTTCTTGCTGAACATGAGTTTTTCTACACATATCCAATAAGGATATGTCAGCTGCTTCTTCCTCTCACCCTGTGTTGTCAGTGAGTTTATATTTAACACCTTCCCTGTAAAAGTATCATGTTGGTGAGCTTTAAAGAAACTTTAAAAAAGTTAGGATGGATTTGAAATTCCTTGTACTGTCTTGCATTTGCTTACATTTTAATTAAGTTTTCAAGACTTCTCCAGTTTTAGCTATATTAATTAAAGTAGCTGTTTAACTAAAACATTGAATGTTACCTCCTATCTCAGTATTTTCCCTCCTAGTTGATAACCTGCTAAAAAAGTATTTTACTGTTTACAGCCATCATTTGTCCTACAGTTAACCATTTACCATGGTGAAAATAACCATGCAGACAGTCAGCATATCACAGTCAGTGTTACAGTGTGTTTACAAAAGTTCATGAAAGCTCAGTGAACATAATTCATCATATTCTTAATGTCTGTTCACAAGGTGATTTTGTCAATTTTCATCACCTCTTGGGTATGTCTTTCATCGGGGCCTGGTTTGTTTTGGGTTATTTTTTGTACAAGTGTCCTATCCTCAGATGTCGGAACACAGTTGTGAAGTATTGCTTATGCTTTCTGGAACTGACTTGATTTTTAGGAGACTTGCAAGCAATATCCCAGTAGCTTTATGAAGCAACAAGTGTATAATTTGTTACTGTGATTTTCAGGTTAGATAAGTGTACTCTGGTGGGGGCGAGGGAAACAATAACACCACCTGCGGGATTAAAACAGCCCTTGGTGGAACAAGAGGGTTCCTGACTGATTTTGTAGAGGTTCTTAAGGAATTTAATTCAGCTTGCTGTAGAAACAACTACTTTCCAGAAGGATACAAACAGCAGCTAAACCTGCTTACAAAAAATGTAGCGCTGGTCCCAGCTTTTGTCATGATGCAAGGGAGAAGCATGTTGAGGCTTTACAGTAAAGACAGGTCTCTTGGTGTTTGAAGAAATCAAGATTGGTGGACTTATCAGGACCTGTATATATTTCTTGTTAGGGATAAGCCCCACTTGATTGACCGTTGAAAAAAGAATTGTATATTTCTCCTACTTTTCCATGGTATTATAACTCCCAGATTTTCTTTAGACCTCAAGATGATACCCTGATTAAAAGATTTAAGTTCCTTGGTGGATCTTTAACCACTTTATTTGCCCCATTCCCTATGTAATCCTGTAGTGAAGGTGTCAAAGGTTTTTAGAAGTCATCTGAAAACACTGCAATATCTGAGGGTCAACCTCTTCCCATTCATTAAATTTACTTCTCCCAGGGATCATCCCAAAGATAAACAGATCCTTTCCTCACATTCTCACAGTATGGTCTGTCACTGAGCCTACAGCTCCAATCTTCTCTGCCTTTTGAGAAAAATCCTTTTGAGTCCCAGTGCAATGCATTGACTTACTAAAAACATACCAATCTGAAGTGATGATTTTTGCATTTCTGAAATGTTATGATGATAGCAACTTCATAAATAAAAACAGTCTATGAGAATACTTAACTCCCCTGCAAATAAATGGTATACATGAGGAAAGTTCTTTACTTTCTTGTGTTTCACTGGTATAGTTGTTGGAGGAGATGAGCAGAATAGTTTTGGCTTTCTTGGGAAGGAATTTTTCAGGGAAGGTATGATAATCAAGTTGAAAAGGAAGTGGGTAATATATTTGGCATCAGTTGGTCTTCTGTCAGGGGTAGTTGATGTTAGATCTGACTCCATAATCATGGCAATATACCACTTTTTCATGAATGAAAAATAGTAAAAATTTGCAATAATAGAGTACGAGTAAGATTGTGTTCGCAAAATGTCTTAAATATGTCTGAGCCCTCTGTTGCAAGAGGCTGTTGAGCAGTAATGTGCTTCTAGAATAAGCCTTTTCAGAAGAAACAAGGTTAAGGATGTGAGGAGTACTCTGGGAACAAAGAGAGTGCAAGATACTTTTTCCCCGCCTTCCCAGTATGTCAGTCTTGGCAGTTCTGTTTCCTCCCTCATGTTACCTAAGATAAGCAACAAATCCAGCTCTCTAATAGCAATCCAGATTGTATCAGTAGATTACCAGTGCTTTCTTTACAATCCTTGGAAGCTATGGCCTAATTGCTTATCCTCTCTACTTTCTGTCTTTTTTAATTGCTCTAGATGAGCAGTCAGTGTCAAAAAGTGTAGTGAAAAATAGTATTTATTTTTCTCTTCTTTTGGCACTGTTTACAGTGCTAATAATGTAAAATAATAATGTAAGGAAAACAGAAGTTTCATTCACTACAAACAGCTGTATCTAATGCAAAGTTTTATATCTTTTCCCTTAGTGCACCATATGTGTGTTTCCTTTTCTATAATGACCTATTGAATGGTCAGTGAACGTCTCATTATTCCCCATATTCAGTCATGTATCCTCTTGTGCCCCCCCCCCCCAAATCAGCATATTTCTAGCTGCAGAAAAAGAGTGAAACTTGGCAAATTAAGCATGTTTCTGGTTTAGACATGTTCTTTCTTTCTGGTGATGCACGCCTACCTCTTGCATTCAAAACTGAAAATCATTCTATCTGGCTTCTAGTTATCCTTTTTCCTGAGAACAAATGCAGTAGAACATAAAATCCTTTCATAATGTTTTTGATAGCTTTTGTTAGTGGTGTAAAAGCCACACAGCCACTTCATGTTATTTCACACTGTCCTTATCTCTTCTCAAATCAACATAGTGTAAATTTTAGTGCTGATGGTTAATCAGCTTCTTTGTATTCTGTTTTATTTTGTATTATTTTGGCTTTGCTTGTTGTTGACTTTTATTAAAGATGAGATTACTGATAGCCTTTTATCCATGCAGGCTAGAATGGGTAAATGTTTGAGGTTAACTAACATTTGGATTATTAACTTGCACGTCTTAGAAATCAACTAAAGTGTTAAAAGGTAACCTGAGATCAGAGAAGAGTTGTGGTCAGGTGGCTTGGTCTGGAGACAGAGAGTATTATTGCTTCTAATTAGCTGCTTTCCCACCCCCCCTTCCAGAGATCTCCCTTACCTGTCTATACTTTCTCCCTTTGCACCTCATCTCCAGTCTACCTGTACGACTGCATCCATAGTTGCTTTCAGCCTCCTATCAAGAGTCTATCTTCTGGCTTTAAGTTAACCAGAACAGGTCAGATGATGATTGTCTAGTTTTACAAGCAGATTTCAGGGGGCAGTGGCCTGGGTGAGAGGAGAAATGGGATATTATGAGCCACAGGGGTCTACAAATATGTTGTATTCTGGAAGCTTACCTGACTGTAGGCTCTATATCCATCTGGGAAAGGTAGTAGAGGTTAGGTATTGCACTTCCAGCTTCCAGTCTGTGTGTGATTCAAGTCTATCCTGTTTGGATGAGCAGTTAGACACTAAAGATGCCTTTTTCATGGTTTTGTTTTGAACACATTAAATGTGTGCTTAATCTAGAAAACAGATTTTCTAGGTCAACGAATTATTCTAAGAATAAGCATTAGGTTTAATTATTATCTACTTAGTCATGTTTACAGGGACTGAAGCTTGTGTAGCAACCTCTTATCTCTTGTGGTATCACTGCTGGTGTTCTTTCATGTTATACTGGGTCTTCTCTTCCCAGCTGGAGGTTGAAAGATTTAGTAGCTACTACCTGCACCGGATGACACATGCACAGCTGACTGATGCACAGCTCTTAAATCTGGTTGGCTCTATGCTGAGTTTCGTGCTAAGATCTTGAACTATGCAGAGGTTTGAGCTCCTAAGTCCCTTCAAACCTAAATACTAGCTGTGTACATAAATGTTCCTAGTGAAGTTTAATTTGTGTTCTCTTAAATACAGAAGAATTGTCAAAGTGACAATGTGCTCAGCTTGGTCCAGCTCTTACCTATGGTCAGTCTTTGGTGTATGCTTATTCTGAAGGAAGCTATACAATAGTACCTGTACACATAGCACATTACGTCTGTGTGCAGTAAAGACTTGGGTCTGTTGATCTTACAGATATTCATCCTATAAGGGAGGGAAGAGTGATTAAAATATTTTATTACTGACTGACCTTTCCCTGTGCAGCTACATTTTGCTACAATTTCCAGTACACAGAAAAATCTATAAAGAAAGGATCTAATACTTTAAACATTATAAAAGTATTTTTTGGTTTTTTTTTTCCTCTGCTAGATCCTGAAGTCTACTGTAATTTGGAGGCTTTTAGCCTTAAGATCAAGTCATCTTTGCTCTTACACAGACTGTACAACACTGCTTCCTCACTCATTCTTTCTGTGTGTTACAGAAGGAAGTCATCTTCCTCACCTCAAAGGAATGTGTAGTTGGCATGCCTGTAGGGTATCTGTGTTCTATTCCTTGAGCTGTTGAGATGCCATTGCTGGAGTCCATCACTCCAAATTAGTATAAGGAGTTCTTGTCTCTTTTTCATGTAAGAAAAGTTATCTCAGTAATTATAATTAGTCAGTAATTAAAAAAAATTACCCTATCCTCACTGTTCTGTGTTTCTTAAGGGAGAGGGAGGTTTGTTCCCTTCCTTCTTTCTTCTTATAGCAAAATAGGTGGTTAGATGAGCTAAAATACTGCTATTTTGCTTCTTAATTCACTCAAGTTTTGCTTTTTAAAAGCTCTGATGGAATGCCTAGTTTGGCAGTCATGATCCAGCTTTGCTTGTTTGCCATTGTGTAATGGTTAGGATAGAATTATAAGCTTCCTACTTGTTAAGTGACGTCCTTTTGAACTGTTGTCTTATGTTGCAGACCAGATGACTGCTGCCAATGGTAATACTGCCCGAGCAGTAAATGAAACTACTGTATGTGTCTCATGCTGTGAGGATTTGTAATCTGTACTTTTTTCTAGTAAAACTGCGAGTTGGAAGTGTTTAAATATGCAGCTTGCCACTAGCTGCATGAAATTCTGGTTTAGCCTAAGAGAATTTCCTTTCCTAAAAAAATCCTTAGAATGAATAGTGTAGGGATAAAAAGTCTTTGGGCTATTAAAATGCATAGTTTCAGGCTTGAAAACAAGAATACATCTTCTCAAGACTTTTCACAGTGGTGGCATTGGGAATCCAGTGTGATGACCCATCTACCATCCAGATAAATAAAGGAAATCTGCCAGTTACCACTGCAGTTTGTTTATTTAACAACTGTTTGCCTGTGAGAAAAGTAATGGATATATTAGTTCATGTTTTCCCACAAACTCCTGTCTTGGGGATTGGGGGGAACATTGATTTGCACTATTGCCGGAAGAGCTTTTGCCCAACAAATAAGATTTTGTCGATTTCTTAGTGAAACTTCATTGTGTACTATTTATAGTTCTCTTTTCTGTGCTCTGCAATAGTGACTCCATGTTCACTGATGAAATTCTTACTTGTTATAAAGTATGGAATTAAGCAAAGATCTTTTTAAGGCATTGTTCATTTCTGATTGGTTTACAAAGACAAATAAACTGAAGAAGATCTTGTCTTAAGAGCAACTGTAAATACGCAAACTAGTCTTTTAAGCTGTTATATTCCAAGTAATTACAGTCTCTTGAATTGATGTGGTTATGGAGTAATGGAGATGATTATTCAGAAAAGGATTTAGACTTAGCTGTAGGATCCTTTATATAAATAAAGGTATTTAAAGCACTATATATAAACCATGGAGATATTTTAAGGCAATAAAAAAAAAACCCATGCCTCTAGTAAAAAATACTTACTTTTATACCAGCTAGACTACCTATGGCAGTCCAGGTGAAGCCACTTCATGGAGAAGTTCTAAAGAGAATCCAATGGAAAACCTTTCAGCCCCCTCATTGTGACAATGAGGGAATACATATCCTTACCATCAAAGTTCCTGTAGTATGAAAAAGGCTTTGAGTTTTTCTCAGGATGGGGAGAAGAAATGGTGCTGTGGAGAGTAGTTCAAGGGTCTCATTTCATTGAAATTAGGAATGCAGTTATTTTAGTATTAAATACTGTGTGAAAATACAATTACTATTTTAAGGTTAGAAACTTGTCACAGTTTAAAAAGGATATATATTTTGCTAAACAGATTAGACTGATAACTGATTAGAACCCAGGAAGCTAAAGTAAGAATGTGTCTTTAATAGCTACTTCAAGTGACTTCAAGTATGGACTGTTGCCGGGTACTTCAAATGACTTCAAGTATGGATTGCTACCGGGTACTTCAAGTGACTTCAAGTATGGGCTGCTACCGGGTACTTCAAGTGATTTCAAGTATGGATTGCTGCCAGAATCTTGGCCAAAAGAAGCTTGGGAAAATGGTAAGTGTATCTGATGGAGAGTAGGTTGGGCTTTTTCCCTCTGATAGGGGTTCTCTAGCTTTTATATCTCCGCTTGTAATATTTAATTCATTTGTATAGAGGGTTATGAGATTATTTAATCTTCTTCCATATCATTTGCCTTTCTTCTTTGGAGGGAGGAAGAGGAATTCAGATGTAGGGAGGAGTAAAAACAGAGTGTGATTTCTATCAGTTCTTGCATTGTGACTGATTGTGAAGGTACCTGAGGTCTTTTAATAACCTGATAGCTGCCCCTTCCTTTACTAAGCTAAATGCAGATAAATGGCCTTTGAAATTGAAAACGGATGGTGAAGATATGGAATTAAATATAATTTTAAAAGGAGATCTCAACATACGTCTTGCTATTAAAAATAAAAAACTTAATTGCAATGAATATTTTTTGTTCAGTGCAGCTGTAATTAAGCCTTCTTCTGTCAGTTCAAGCAAGCAATTATCTGTAATTATTTTTCTGTCTGAAAACATACTGAAAACACCACCATATCTAAAACATCTTAAGCAGTTGTTGCTAGTTCCTTATGCACTAGATAAAGTCTTCAGTAAAAAGAAGATACCAAGTACTGGGTAATAGTAATTCTTACCTCTTCTCTTTAACTTTGAGCTATTACTGGGATGTGGCTTATGGTTTATTTTAAATATTTTGGGGTTTACAGTAGAAGAAATTTTGTCATCAGAAGGTGAAATTCTCAAGCAGTCAAGAAATGTGAAGCTGGGTCTTAGGAAGTCTGCCTGTTCTTAAACCATTAAATTCCCCTATATCTTGCAGCCCTGATGTCTGCCTGTATAGGACTTACTCTTCTTCATGTAAGCCATTATGTGATGAGTTGACATGCAGCTAACATGAGTGCTCCAATAAGCAAACTTGTGAATATTAGCAAAAATGTAGCTTCCGTGTTATGGTGGATTTAGAACCTAAGAAGAAGCAACTCTAGATACAGGCCTGTGAGCATGTGCACATAATGCACAATTACTTATGTTTTCTTCCTGACAGCCTGAACATTAGAAACTCTTGCACATAATAATGTAGCCTTAGCCAGTGCTTTTTGGATGCTTCTAGATGGCTATGATTATTTTCATAAATTCTCACCTGTAGCAAGTTGAGTCAGTATGCTATTATCAAAATCATCCTGTATAGCTGTGTGGCCTCTCCATGTCATAGCATTCTGTCTTGTTCTTTCTTCACACAGTAATAGGCAACTGTATTTTAAATCTGTTTTGTATATATCCTTTGAGCAAACTATATAGAGTTCTCCTCCATCATAAGGAAGAAGTGAGATATTGCTACTTCCAGAAGTTTTCTTCTGTTCTATTTATTTTTATGCTGTTAGATCAAAGTAGAAAATAGGTAAAATCTGAATTTTGCTACCTCTTAGTGTCCTACTCCTTTTGTCAATATTCAGTCTTACTTAGTTATACTTTCTTTTTATTGATTTGTCAAGTCAGATCTTGGTGAGTTCTTGCATGTAATTCTCAATAGAATATTGGGATAGAAGATTGTGGCTATCTAAATGCTTCAGAGTTAGAGAGTTTCTAATCCAGAGGAAAGTGTTTTCTGGTATAATTACATCTAGGAAAATGGAATATTGGTAAATTGTAGTTAACTTACTTCAGTTAATGAAATAAGACTTCGGTGGTAAAAATGCCTTGGTTACGAGTAGGTATTTTTCTACTAGAATTGTACATGCAGAACTTAGCAGCATTTGATTTCTGCAGACAGACCTTGTCCTGATTTGGCTGATGAAAAGTCATGTGTTTTGCTTTATTGTTTTGGCACCTGTTTTATTTTTGTGCATCAGGCAGATTATATCTAAATATTTTTTGTGTGTTTCATCATATTTTCTCCTGATGACTTCTTATCTTGTAGGTGATTCCTCTGCTTTAATCATGAACAAGTTGAAGTGTCCACACTGTAATTATGTAGCCAAATACAGAAGAACACTAAAGAGACACTTGCTCATTCACACAGGCGTGAGATCTTTCAGTTGTGACATCTGTGGGAAGCTGTTTACACGAAGAGAACACGTAAAGAGACATTCCTTGGTAGGTAATCTCAAGTGTTCGTGTATATGTATGCACATGTACAAGTGGGGTTTTATGGGGCATTTCAGGTATTTTGGCAGTTGGAACAAACTGTTTTCTGATTTGACATAATGTAAGTTGTCTTATCTTGATCTGAAGTGGATGAAGATAAACATTTCTTGGATAACTGTGCCTCTTGTTTTCTTAATGAAAAATGCAGCATCAATGAAGACAGTGATTTCAAGATTATTTTGAAAGTGATGTGATAAAGGGATGCAGTGTATATAAGTATTCTGTAGATAATGAAAAGCAGTTTTGGCTTAGCTTTACTGCAGTAGAACAGCACATCATGGTCTATAATGCTGCATCACCATTTTCTGTGAGGGCACCCTGTTAATTCAGCAATTGCACAATATCTTGGGGTAGTTCTGAAATGTTTATTTCACAACTAGACAAAGCTATAGTGTAGTATCTGCTTTAAGATTTGGAAAGAATGAAAAATACCTGATACGGAAAGTAAGCATCTGTCTGACTTGCATTCTGCCAGTACCAGAACCAGCAGTTCAGCTTTCCCTGTCCTGTGCACGTTGCATAACTCAGGATTTGACTTGAGTACTTGTTTATCTGAGAATCCAGAGAAAGTATTATCTGTCTTGGGTATTTTGTAGGTACTTTGTATCTAGTCTATGAGGAAATCAAGACTTCGTTATAATAAATACTATATAAAATCCAAAGTGTCTTTTAGGGCAGTAACAAAAGCAAGATTATGTTGGTGGTGAGAAAATAACATTTGTCCAAACTGTGATTTAAAAAATCCCTTCATTTTGCAAGATGTTTTGTAGATAGACAGAAAAGGTTTGTACATGGATTGGGGTAAATTGCACTTCTCCAGGGTGCTGCACCTGGTTTGGGGCAACTCTGGTTATCTATACAGGCTGTTGGATGAACATGTCAAGAGCAGCCCTGCCAGGAAGGATTGGGGGTGCTGGTGGGTGAGAGGCAGGACATGAGCTGCCAATGTGCTCTCTCATCCCAGAAAGCCAAATGTATCCTGGGCTGCATCAAAAGCAGCGTGGCCAGCAGAGTGAGGAAGGCCATTCTGCCCCTCTAGACACCCTATATGGAGGACTGCATCCAGCTCTGGGGTCCCCAAAACAGGAAGGACATGGAACTGTTGGAGCTACTCCAGAGGAGGGCTATGAAAATGATTGGAGGGATGGAGCATCTCTCATATGAAGAAGGGCTGAGAGAATTGGGGCATTATTGCCTCATTGATGGCCATGCTCCTTCCTTTGTGGCTCACCAGAGAGTGGGACTTCAGTTTTCTGTCCTCCAGTGTCTGACCAGGACGTTTAGCTGAAGATTTTTTTTTTTTACCTCCAGGAAAGGAGATGAAGTCAGACAGCTGTGGAGTGAGCTCAGTGCAGTTCTGTGCTTTAAGTGAAGTGTCCTTTCCCTGAGGAAGTCAGGACACTTTTTTTTTTTTTTTTTTTTTTTTTCCCTCCCTTCCCCTTTCAGTTTAACAAACCTTAAACATTCTGCCTTTGTGAAGTATTACAAAGACTCTAGAGGCTGAGGAAAGCACATGTATCAGCTGTACCAGATCATACAGCAGAGCTGAAGTAACTATCTGTATCATGACCTAATTTCTTTTTCCCCTCATCTGGGTGGTAATTTCTCTTTTATCTAAAATGCAGCTTTTTCAATGGGACTTCAAATGAGTTATTTAAGCACATAATTATGATCTGTTGTGGGAACACCAGATAGAAGAAGGAAGTCTTCAACTTAATTTTCTTGTAGATAATAACTAATATACATGGTTACTGAATAGAGTTACTTGTACAAGCAGCATACTTCCAAATTTATGGTTGGTCAACAGCAGCCTTCTAATTTTACACACAGACTCAAATACAGGACAAAAAAATTACCTAAGGGACCTGGAAAGTTGATGTTGGTTTTAATTGTGTTGGGAGGGAGAAGTCATAGAAGAAGATTTTTTGGTCTTTGAATTCTTGAATTTAATAACTCTTGCTTGTTCTAAATATTTCTAGGATTTAAAATTGTAAAAAGCAATTTTCTAAACGAGTTATCTTGTGTGCAGTGTAAGGGTTTGCACTGATGTCATTGCTTCTGAGTCTTGTTCTGTACCCTGAGGAGTCATGAACTGAACATTCACCTGTGTACAAATCACATGACCTGCTGAGCCTCCAACAAGGTGGTTTGTTTGTGGGCAGTAGCTCATATCTCTTGAGGAATATATAAATAGATCTTCAGTAGTCCTTCCTTACTCTGAACAGTGTTGGGTATCTTTTGGAAAAGTTAAAAATAGGAATTTTTGTATTAATAATTGTTGTTATTGTTAATAGTGTTCTAGTACTTTATGCAAATGTAAGCTGATATGCCTGTATTCAGCTGTGAAAATTTCTCTTCCACAGGTGCATAAAAAGGATAAAAAGTATAAGTGTATGGTGTGTAAGAAGATTTTCATGCTAGCAGCCAGCGTTGGAATAAGACATGGATCACGACGTTATGGAGTTTGCGTAGACTGTGCAGATAAATCTCAGCCTGGAGGGCAAGAGGGAGCAGACCAGGTGCAGGACACAGATTTCCCTAGGGATGAAGAATACGAAGAAAATGAAGTGGGAGAAGGCGATGAGGAGCTTGGTGATGATGTAGAAGAACAGAATGACCAGTCTCGATGGGATGAAGGCGGGGAAGTTTGTATGCCTTTAGATGACTGACAGAGCATATGACTTCAGGGTGCTGCAAATGGACACTTACGGATTGACTGTTTGAATTTCTGGACTGAAGGCTTGCGAATTATGGTACAGGCTGGATGGTAGTTATGTTGCTGTGAAAATGTAGGGTCAAAGCCTTATAGCAAAAAAGGATTATTAATTTTTTTATGATATTTGCACAGGACTGTACAGCATACAACCGTTTGGTTGAATTATACAGAGTCCTCACATCTACAGTCAGTTATCAAAAGAAAAATGTATTTTTTATTATTTATAGGCTATAGCTACTTGGGTCCTATTCAGACATAGTAGTAACTGTAATTATGTTACACATTCATGTATCTGTTAACATGAATGAAGAAAATTGCAACTCAGTATGGAAATACCAAGACAGCTTTCCCAAATCCACTAGTACTTTTGTCAGTGAGTCAGTGAAGCTAATTTGAGCTAGTGGCTCATTTTCCACAAGCATGTCTTTGCCGTACAAACCTTACCTCTCCTGAAATCTGATAGGTGAAAGCCAATCATTTAAATATGCGTCATAGATATTGCCAACACCGTATTGAAATTTGGGTTGAAAACTTTTGGCTCTGTGCTGGCAGGTGCTATGGGTGATAAGCACTGGAGAAGTTGATAATGGCATTAATTTAGTGTCTGTTTTTAAAGAAGGTTGTTGTTGATTCATCAGTTTCAAAACGATAATGCAGAAGAAATGACCAGTAATGAAAATAATAGACTGATCAAAGCATGGTTAGCTCTTGTGCCACTTAGTCAAAAGAGACAGTCATGCTGAAAAATATCTGATGTAATAATGTTTCTTCCCTCTTCTAAGGCTCCCCTTCTCTCAAATTTTTTTGGTTTCCCTGGTGTATACCTCAGTCCCACAGAATAAAAATAAAAGGAATGGAGAAAGTGTCATATTAAAACAACTTTTTGGTCAATAATTTCTTACTTGTCTGTTTTTTGGCTAGTTTATGTGATGTGAATTGGACACTAGGCTGTTGTGCCCATTGTTCATCATTGAACACAAACTATTTTTTATTCTTTTGTACTTCATGGGTTGTTGTTAGTATTTAATGTAAACAAACTACATTTAACTTGCTCATTTGCTGGAATTTTTTTTTTAAGAAAAACAAAAAGTCCAAAGCAAACTAATGCTCTTTGAGCTGTCTACTTTTCAGGAAGATATGCTCCCTGTGCTCTTCGTTTCAGATTTTCTAGGAGGCATTGAAACTTGAATTTTTGTAGCCATGTAGTTCTCTTTTTTTTTTTCCTAAGTTTGTAATATTGTACCAATGATTTCAGGCCCCTTTCTTAGGGAGGGGAGGGCATTACACCTTCACCTTAAACTCCTTTGTGTTGTCTAGCCTAAGGCAAGTGAATTCAGGCAATCATTGGAACAATACGTCTGATGTACTATTATGTCACAGTGAGTAAATATGCAGAGCATTTGTCATGACACATAGCTAGGCCAGTGTGACAGTACTGTATAAAAAACAATTGAGGGTCACCATATTTTCCAACTTCGTTTATTTTTAAAATGAGTATATTTTTTCCTATTTTATGTCAGGTAACTAAATTATGGTAGTTGTGTGGATAACTTTGAATTATGCTTTGATGGACAAAATCTTGCTGGTGCTCCATCTGATCAAAGTTGGTATGTATTTAAAGAGACAAACTTTACTGTTGTCCATAGAACAATAGCATAATGTTAAGACGTTGTTTTTGCTGATTGAAACTGAGATATGATGAGTTTGAACTACGGTTATATGGGAATTAAAATGCTTTTTTTTATCATCCACTTGTTTCATTGGTAGTTTCCACATCATTGTAAACCTGACATGAATAGTTTTTTTGGGGAGGGTTGGGAGGGTGGGGTACCTTTTTTTACACTGAAGATTACATTTTATTCTCATTGTTCTAGACTGAAATGAGTCATGTGTAATTCTGGTGGGGTCCAAAGTAGAAATTAGTTGGGCAAAGATGATAAGAATGAAAAGTATTTTAAACGTTGAAGTAATGTTCTGCTTTGTGAATATGTAAGTATAGCATAAAGATTTTTCCATCCCATTTATCCCTTTTAAAACCATAGTTTACAATTGGTAGATCTGTCTATATATAAAAATATATATATATATCTGAAATTCACCTAAATCTGCTTTATTAGAATACTGCTCACTTAATGCTTAGAAACTGGACCTGGCTCTACATTCTTAATGTATTTTCCTTTTTTTTTTTTTCCTCTCGTTTTGTTGGGATTTTTTTCTTCAAGGTATGAACTTATTCTCTTGGAACTGAATCTTCTTTTACTACTTAAATCATTTATGTATATCTGGTAAATTATGACCAAATTTGTTGTTAGACTGCATTACAGTAAATTGAAATATACACTTGGTACACTACAGAATTGTTGTGCTTTTGTTCTGGTTCTATTTGGAAAAGCAGGCTTGAGTAGACATTTGTTATTTATAACTCTTCAGTTATTATTCACTGGCCTTAATATTCTGTTGCATTGTGACAATCATTATTTCCTTGGTAAAGCTTAGTTTCTTGCTTTTAGAAATTGTATGTAATTGCCCATGGTAGGTTGGAGAGAGAGGGATGACTGTCCCTAGCAAATGGTGTGAAATACTTCAGTGAAGGTCCACTGTTCTTGTCTTGGAGAACCGTAAGAATTTGGATGCTGTCTCCAGGCTGGCTTTTCTGAGTTGTTTTATTTAGAAGTTATTTTAAATATACTAGCTTGATTGGTAGTTCTAAATTAATAAAACAAAATTTCTGAAGAACTAATTCTCGAGGGACAGCTCAAGTTTCTTCACTATTTTAAGAATTAGGAAGGCATTTCTCTTTGTGCAAGAAATTCTTTCCCCCAAGAAACGCTGAAGTTGCTCTATAGTAACATGGCAATGGATTTTATCTGTTTTGAGATTTTTTTTTTCCATTTTGAAAGAAATTTTTGAAAGAAAATTTAAAATGTCATATTTATCAAATTAAAAGACAGTCTTTCATTTTGTCTTCTGATAAAATAATTCTCAATCATGTCTGTTAGTAAACTAAGTTTGTCTGATGTTGGGATTTCCCCTTTCTCAGTGGGTTTTTGTTTGCTTTCTGGTCTCTTCAAGCAGTGGTGGGTATCTTTTAGAGATAATCATACAGAGCACTTTTTGGCAGGGCACTGTGATGCAGGACAAAATTTAAATTAGGAAGTAAATTCACTTTAGATTCATAATTAGAAGTTCTGGTCAAAATAGGTCAAATGATGTAATGAAGACACGACATAAAATGTGTTTGTCTTATGTCAATGTTACTATAGTGCGTTAGAAAGCATTTTTCAATTGTAGTGACAGATGCATCTTGCAGGGAAAATTACATTTTCCAATTACCTAGACAAATTTTGTCATTCAGCTTGCAAACAATCCTCTAGTAAAATAATTTTTGCTGTGAAACCAGTTTTGAAAACCAGAAGTTGTATTTAGTTGTCAGTATGCATCATAAGAAGTATGAGTTGTAATTACTGGTTCCCAAAGTGTACATCTGGTTTTTAGGGTGTGTAGCCTTCTGCAAATGCAGTTTTCAGGTATCACTACATGTCACTACTCTTTCTTCTGACAAGAATAAGCATTATCAAGTGAAGAAAAGTTGGGGGCCAGGACACTGGCATGAGCTATGCTCCTAGTTGTGGGTCACGGCAGTAATGCTGTTAGCAGAAGATGCTTTCCTTGCCTAGGTTTAAGTTGGTAAGGCTGTTAATAGGATTTGCTTTAATGAGGCCAATCTTGGTTGTTAGCTTGCTTTGAAGTTTTGTTTCACTTGATTTTTCTTGTTCTTGCCACCCAGTAACACAAGTCTCCCACTTGTTCCAAAATACTTTTGTAGTCTGCTGATTCCACGTAGATGCAAAATTCACTTTTGGAAGTACTGTACCTTGTTTGCTGTTCCTTTTCTACTTTGTTGTAATTAAATGTCTTTAGAAACTGAAATGAAAGCAAGACAATTGACACCACTACCAGCCTAAAAACTTGTGCCAAAAGGTAGTTAAAAAGGGGCAAAACATGGAGTGCAATGTGATAAGAAAAAGGCTGTTGAATTTGCATTGTAACAATTCCTCTGGTTTGTTACTTGAATGTTTTGGACAATTCACTGTACTTTTCTCTAGCACTATTTGGTGACAACCTGATGAAGAAGCTATGCAAGAAGCCCAGTTTTGAGTTTATTCAGTGTCTTCAGAATGTGGTTCAGGCTCTGCAGAGGTCGTAGCACTGAGTAGCTTTCTGTAGATAATTTACTGTAGAACCTTCTGTTAGCATCTCTCTTCACTGTGTGATCTGTTACCCATTTTTTATTTGATAAATGTTTGCTCCTTCGCCTTTTATACATTTTAATAGCACATTACTGTGCATCACTGAACAGTATGGTAAAGGTTAAATATTGACACAATGCATAAAGAGAAGTTGGTTTTCATTTAGTGTCTTTTAACAAACCTGTAACAAAATAATTAATTTGTAATAAAGAAAATACAGGTTTGAAATCCAGCGGAAGGGGTGTTGCAGAGCAGAACCCTTTATTATTGAAGATTCCATGTATAATTCACCATGGGTTTTAAAAATAATTTTATGTGGGAAAAAACAAAATGACACTAGAAAGATCTTATGACATGAACTTGAAAATAAAATTGGCTTATCAAGTACTTTGTATCTGACATTATTGCAATTTGAAGTGAATGTTTTAAATAAGCTATACATAATGTTTCTTACCTGAATCAATTTGGATTAGCCACTTCAGGATACAGATATAAGTAATTTCTCACTAACGTTTTGGTGTGTAAACATAATTTCAAGACTTCTAATACTCTGTGCACCAGTCTTAAGTTACCATGCTGCAAATAAATTGAAGAAATAACTATTTTATTCTATCTATTTTTCTGTGCCTTGCCTCCTCATCCTCCACAAGTAGATGCAAAGATTTCTTTGGATGGCTGAGTGTTAACATTCAATACTTAAAAAATTTTAAAAAATCGCTGCACATAATTTATGGAATTTTAAGCTGTGTTTTTAAACTTCTCTCATAGTAAGGCAGGTTTAGAAATACATTATTATGCCAACTTAGATGACTACTTCCCAAAAAGCAGAATCCAGATAAGGTGATTATACCTAAAACTGGATTTTAGACAAACTAATGCAAAGCTGAGCAGGTCACAGATGGGGTACTTCAGCCCCAGTCTTGTGCATGGCAGAAGGTTTGGATCCCCTTGGAAATGCATAGTACTGTGTGTGCCCAAAGGCTTTCTCCTGCAGCTTTGTTTCCTCCCTGCATCTCCACCAGCCTGAGAATTTTGGAGCGGGTGCTTTCAGCTGGATTAATTAAAAGCTTCTTGTCTGAATAACGCTAGATATGTGTTTAAACTGGTGCTTTGGCTTCTAAATTTACCTTCTAGGTATGGAATATTTTTGGTAGATCACACACAGGTAGGTTTCTTCAGTGTAGATTATCAGCCCTTTGGGTCTTTGAAGGATGAACACTGAAATTTTCTGTTTGCCCTGTAGAGAAAGCTTTAGGTTTGATTTCCTGGACAGGCAAGTCTTGCCTGTGTGTCTTGACTGGGATACCAGGGGTTATTGAGGACCAAAGGCCTCTGTCCAATTAGCTTTTCCTATTCCCTGGATCTGCACACTGCACATCTGATTGTATCTAGAGCATGTGAGGAAATGGTCTTGTGGGGGACTATAGCTCCAGTTTGGGAAGAGCCTGGAAAAGAACTTTTAGGTCATTAAACAAATTTCAGCATTATTTTTAATTATCTGAATGGTGTTTCTCAGAGAATTGGCTTTAGACTTGAATATATTTTAAGCTTATTAATTAAGTGTAATTCAGTAATATGTTTTTGGATTTTTTTTTGTTAAATGAATATGAGCTATTATATTTTGTCTAAATGTCAGGAAAAGATCTTCAGAGTCCACCAAACAGTGCTAACATTGTAGCTAGAAAAGAGCAGCTGCAGAAAAAGCATGTTTGTTAAAATACAGCCAATTCAATCTAAGTAGATAAGCATTAACATGGAGACAGCAAGGAGCTCTAGAAGATGAACTGCAGAGTTAGAGGGAAGGTGGTGGAAAAGCCAGTGCTGCATGAATGTAGCAGCTTTGTTAGTAGACCTGAAGTCTGGATACATTCAGCAAGGAAAAGGTGCTTATCTTGCAGTACAGCTCAGTTGATGTTGCTTAACACTTGAAATGCTGGCCTTTAAAGGATAGACCTAACATCAAACTTTGAAGTAGTCAGCCTCCCTTTAGCCCTTTAGCTTGAAAATACATACAGGATTAACTGTTAAGAGATACCAAGCTTATGCTAAGGAACAGGCACAATTATTTTCCGATCAAATGAAGGTATTTTTGATCGTGTGAATGATTGTACCACTTAAGTGTATTTATTTCCAAAATTCATGCAGTAGAGGCATAGTATTGGTCCAGCTCCTGCAAAGATTTTATTGATGTTGATTGCCAAAACTGTCAGCTTGACAAGAAATGGTAGCTGAGTCCCACTTCTGTAAGCTGTGTCTAGCTTGGAAGGGTTGCTTTTATGAGTCAGTGTGTGCTGCATTTTCCTGAGATACTTTCTGCATAGGTTACATCTTGTTCAGACTGGCCTTAAGTTCCTCCTCCTGGGTTTAGGTTGCAAAACATTATCAGTGAAGAAGTGTCACAAAGTAAATCTTACCTGGGAATGTTTTTCTTGTTTCACATTACTGAAGTGTAGGAAATAAATTTCTGAAGCATTGCTTTAATTGAAACATTATGTAAGTAACTATTTTCCTTAAGAAATAGTGCTTTAGTGAGTGACTTGCATGTGCTCTTTAGATGTTGTCATGCCATCTTTCTGCAAGTTATCCTCTGCAGCCACTTGGAGATGACACTACTGAGGTCATAGGATATAATAATAGTATGTCTTTATGTTTTTATTATCTTTTTCAGAAATTGAGGTAAGTGGAAGAGGGGGAGTGGGAAGGTTTATCTCTAACCTTTGAGTAACTGGAATTCAGGGAAATGCTTGCTTTTAAACTTTACCGAGACTTGATATGCCAAAATGTTTATAAACTGTACGCGATACATTATATTATTCTGGCTAAGTTTGCAAAAATTACCGTTGCCATTTTCAGTCATAGTTTTTTTCAGAACTATTGGATTTATCTCAAAGTAGTCTTTCCTGTGATACCTCTAAGACAATTTGTAACTATGGAGGGTCTACTCGCTTTCTAGAAGCAGTAAGATACGATTTTATAATGTTTACAAAAGTTGTCAGTAGGTTTCTGTTGATAATTATTCTGATTTGGATTCCTTCTTCAATGGTGTTTTTTGTCTGGAAGATGTGGAAAGCAGCCTGGTGACCACTATATACTCATAGGGCTAAAAT